CACCTGCAGCCTCATGTTGTTATGATCTGTTCACCTGACTCTCTGACCTACTCTACTGTGACCTCCCAGAGGGAAGGAAATGGCTGTTAGTCATCGCAGCAGCATCAGCACCAGGCACAGTGCCTGGCACCGACATGGAGCTTGGCGTATGTGTGCAGAAAGAGGGGATGAATGAATGGATGATTGTGGCCCTGGGAGACACAAACTGAGGTGAGAGGCCCTAAAGAATGCGGGGCCTGCAAGAGCCTGAGGTTCCTACTCTTAGGTGTCTGTCTTTGAGGTTCAAGTCCAGGTGCACTGGCTGGGCAGCCAGCTGGCAGAGCCAAATTATCCCCGTGGGTGGAAGAGGCTCTACCAGCTGGCCGGGAATTGCTTCACCTCCCCTGTAGGCCCTTCGGAGAATCATGGAAGCAGGAGGCAGCGCACAGATGTATGGGCTGTTCTGCCAGCCACGTGAGCTCTCCTCCTTCCTAGGAGGGCCAGGATGGGGCAGGCAAACTCCCGGGCCAGCCAGACTTCCCCGGGAGGGGCTCGGATGGCTGCAGTCTCCTCACCAGAGAGGCGCTCACAGGCTCCCTTCGCTCCCCAAGGCCAATCAGGATACCAACCCTCTTGGGCTCTCGGGGAGTCCTCGGCCCTTCTTGACCCACCCTGTTCTTGTCCAGCCCTCAAACAGCCCCTGCCTTCTCCGCTGTCATCAAGCTCTTACCAGCGAGTGGTGCTAGGTCCTGTCGGCAGCTGGGTCCGGGGTGAGGGCCCGGGGCTCACTTGGTCTGTGGGTCGAGAGAGTGACTGTCCCTCACCAGGACAGGCTGCTGCTTTATGTGTCTGTGGAGGGAAGGAGGTAGGCCTGCCCCAGTGACCCCACCTCTTCCGGGAGAACAGCATCAACCTGTTCCACATGTGTCCTGCCCCAGGCAGGTGCCAGCGTGGGTGGGGGGAGCCAAGGCCAAGAGAGAGGTGGCAACTGAAGGTCAGCTTAATGGGCTGAGAGGAGAGGAAAGACAGCACCTTTGGGAGAAAAGCAGTGGAAGTTGTGTGTGTGTGTGTGTGTGTGTGTATGAGAGAGAGAGAGATGAGGGAGGGCATCTCTGTTCTGTCATCATCACGGTCATCAGGAAGCATCTAGGATTGATGATGAGACCTTGGGGGTCTGATAAGTGGATAAGAAATCTGTGTTTACAGATTCCAGCGTAAGCGGAGCAGCTGTAAAGTGACCCTCCATCTTCCTGCAAGTCAGCCTGCCTCTGGCTACCTAACGCCGTTTGTTTTAGGGACATACGCGTATCTACGGCGCTGCTAGAAGCATATGTCTGTAGGCAGAGTCGGTTTTCTGTTTTTCTGTGATCAGCATCTCTGCTCCTCATGCAACACTGTACAGACACACACACACACACACACACACACACACACACACTTACAGGCAGAGGCGTATGGAGGGAGCGGAAAACCCAAAATGTGGCGTCTGCTGTGAGAATTTAGATGTCTCACCATCGGTCACTCAGGTCTTGCTCTTACCTTGAATACCCGCCAGGAAGGAATTTTAAAGGGGAACTTACACACCTGGGGAGGTCTCTAGATGATGCCTACAGGCCAGGCTCCTGGCGCCCTGGGCTGTGTGTCCATGTCTGTGAGCACGGTAACCTGACTGCAACTGGGCATTTGTGCTCTCAGCTGGAGCCTCTCGGCATCACTCACCAAAAATGAAATGCAACCTTGAAAGCCACGAGGAGTAAGTTAGGTCTTTCCTGGAGGTTTTCTTGAGGGGATGGTGGTGAATGGGGAGATTAGACCACATCACGCTCCATAAAACTCCCTAAAAACTTACTTATCCACCTCTGTCCCAAAGTCTCCTTCAATATAGCAGCTCCTCCCAGATCTCTTTTCTCTGTATCTTCCACCAAACAAGCCCCTGCTGGGTCTCTGGTCCCTGACCCCTGTCATTTTGCTCCCCTCCCTCTCCAGGCCCTTCTCTAATACTTCCTCCTTCCGTAGCCCTAACCATGACCTTAACCTCACATCCCTCCCCCGAGGAGAGGCAGGTAGGAGTTTGGACCTGTAGGAAGGCTGTCATTCGGTCCCTTTCACACCTGCACATGTATGTAGAAATGTGTTATGTGTATAATATCCTACCCATCTCTGTTGTTTTCCTGGATTTTCGCTTCTTCCTCTCTGTATCTCTCTTTTTTTAAAAAATTATGCTTTTATTTTAGAGAGAGAGGAATAAAGAGAAAAACATCGATGGGCTGCCTCCAGCACTCCCCCTATTGGGGATCGAGCCCTCAATCCAGGCAAGTGCCCTGGCTGGGAATTGAACCAGTGACCTCTCAGTGCATGGGATGGCGCTCAAGCAACTGAGCCACACCGGTCAGGGCTATATCTCCTGATCAGTGCATTGATGTATATAGTCCTGGGCTGTGCAGTCTCCCATCCTTAGCTCCAGAGTAGGCAGCCCACTCTCAACCCCCTCACCAGCCCACCATTGCCTCAGTCAGACTTTTGGGAATTTTTCCCCCCAGTGTCCACTCTCCTCCCGCTGGCTGCAGGCCAAGATTTCCAGTCCAGCTCATCTTCCAAAGGTCTAGAGAGCAGTGGTTTCAAGAAGCCACACATGTATCTGCTCTCTCTGAGCTAGACCCCAGAGGACCATCTACCCAGCTCTCTCTCCTCTGCCCCAGAAGTTTTGCTCCTTTTCTTTCTCTTGCCCTCATTCATGCTGAACTCTACCAGGCTTGTCCTCATTCTTTTTGTCCTGTCCCCACCCCACCTCTGACACATGGATCCATTCCTCAAATTGCTTAATGGTGTTCCAAGCAGGAGGCTTGAAGGGTTCAAGGCAGAGAGGAAAAAATATGGGCTTGTGGGGTCAGCCAGGTTAAAGGTCTTGGAATAAAAGTATCCATGTCAGGCTTGCCCCTGTGCTGCTGCTCCCACCCATCCAGGTTGCCCTGTCTTTTTATAACACTCCCCTCGCCCCCACCTCCCACCCCGCCCATAGTCTTAGGGCAAGTCCACAGAATCCCTGCAGGGTTTCTGTTCCTAAGATGCTGGTTTATGTTCCAGGGAATCTGGGGACATATTTTAAAAATATATGTTTTATTGATTTTAGAGAGAGACGAAAAGAGAGGGAGAGAGAGGAAGGGAGAGAAAGAGAGAGAAGGAGAGAAACATTGATCTGTTGTCTCCTGTACATCCCCCACTGGGAATCAAGCCCTCAACCCAGGCATGTGCCCTGACGGAAAATTGAACTAGTGACCTTTGGTGCATGGACGTCACTCCAGCAACTGAGCCACACCGCCAGGGCTGGGACATATTTTAAATTGTGCTGGAAGATGTTTAAGTTTGACTAATACGTAAGAACTCTTTAAGTCCATTAAAAGTGACTTACAGAATTGGTGGTGCATGATGCCCATCAGGTGGCAGGCTTGCTCTCTTTCTCCCTCTGGTGGTCAATCAAGGGAGATAATGGTCGATAATCACCCCTGAAGTGCACTCAACGCTTTTGGTTTGGGTGTGGTTGCTAGGCGATGGGGATCCAGTCAGGGAATTGACCTGGGGGGGAGGGGCGGGGGGCGCCCCAGCCAGCCGTTCTCTGGGAACCTGAATGTCTCCCAGAGTGACCCACAGAGTGCTCTGCAGACGCCGCAGAGAGACATCAATGTTGGGACAGGACATTACTCCCTTACCCTTTTTCCTTTTTATTACTGTTGATTTTCTGCTCAGCAAGGGGCCAAAGAGGAAAGAGAGGGGGTAGTCTACTGGAATTCAGGAGGTGGAAGGAACTAATCCTGGCAAGAACAGGAAGAAGCTGGCAGTGATGGGGGAGAAGGTTCAGGAACGTGCCTGTAAGATATGGAGCCCACTTGCAGGATGTGGGATAGGCTGGAGTATTTGGGGGGGAGTTACCCCTCGCACAGACATACTTCTGTATCTTCTCTGAGTTTAAGAAGATGAAATAGCGAGAAAGGAAAACAGGATGGAATGGAGGGGTGACTGTCTGGTGGAGAGGCAGGAAGAATACTCCCCAAGGTCGTTGAATTTTGCATTTCCCATGGGAGGCTGGAAGTTTTGGGGTGCAGACTGCATGTTGTGAGCTCTCCTTCCATGAATGAACTTCTTTTCTGAGCAGAGTAAAACCCCCGTCAGACTCCTTTCTTATCCCTTAAAAAACGTTGAGATTTCTCCCTAAATTGGAGCCCATGACATCTCCAGACTCCTTGCCGAGCAGACACTGTTCAGTGCCTGTGACACTGACTCAGCTCGAAGTTGTGCTGAAGAACTGAAGTGCTAAACGTACCTGTTCAGCTGGAAGCATGTCAAACTCAGCATCAACCCCCAGGATGTCAGCGCCCAGCCCTCCGCTGCCGTCCTCCTGCAGATGCGGCTGGAGCAGGGGCAGGCGCTCCTGTCCAATCCATGGCTTTGCTCCTCGGCTGTGATTGCGAGGCTCTTCTGCTAGGACAACCCCCCCCCCCCCCGCGTCCTTGTTAGAGAGACGGGGTCCCAGATGGAGCTTTTGAAGCTCTGCCTCCAACAGCTCTTGGAGCTGAAGTGCCTCCCCATTCCACCATCTCCCCCAGGCCCGTGCCAAGCTCCACTCTGCTTCCCCTAGCCCTGGGTGGGGATAGCCAGGTGCTGTTGCCTAGTCCCTGAAGGAAGGAGAGGGTGGCACAGCAGTCCCAGAGTGATCACAAGGCATCAGCACCCACATAGAGAGGGGGTCCATCCCCGTGTGTGTCAAGGCTGCGGAGTCCCTCCAGGGCCTGGTCACCTTCAGCTTCTCACCCCAGAAGCCTCTGACCAGCTTGAAGTGGAGACAGGAGCGCACTGCCTCCCCTGGAAGAAATTCTCGTCCAGGGTGGTCTCCATCTGGACAGCAGAGAATAAATGTCACAGGATGCTTTGCATCTGCGGGGGGAGCCGCCAACTTCAGAGGTGTTCTGCAGTAAAAATGTAAATTTCAGCCCCCGCCCCCCATCCTTGACCTCTCTGCCCATTAGTTCTAGAGTTGAGCAGAAATGAGCACGGATTAAGAATCTGGAGACCCGAGTCTCTGGAGAGAGCTCTGCTAGGAGCCTGCAGCGTGGCCCTGGAGAAGTACCTTCTCTCTCTGGGCCAGGAGCGCATCTGGAGGAAGCGGAGCTGGGTGAGCTCCCGCACGCCCTCTAGTGGCCAAACTCAGTTTTACCATCGTTGTCATCCTTCGACCCTCAGAGGCCTCTCTGTCGGTTGGGGAAGGAACCCTTTCTCATGGACGTGGCAAGCAACTGCTGTTGCTCCTTGTTCAGCTCTGCGGTGGGTAAAGAGAAGGAGACAGCAGGAGGGGCAAGGGCATACTCTCCCTCTGGTGGGCAGGGGATTGTAGTGCAGCTCAGGGAGCTGGAACTAACACGTATGTGTGCATGTGTGTGTGTATGTGTGTGTATGTGCGGGGGGGGCAGCAGATTCACTCTTAATACTCCGGGAGAGAAGAGAGAAGGTTCCTTGAAAGATGTCTCCTCTTTCTTTTAGGAAAAATAGATGAGGAGGAGGTGGGCTTGCCCCTCTTGCTTTTTCCTTGGAGGAGGGGACGACGGGGTTTGGACGCTGATTCACTCTGCCTGTAGCTTGGTATGAGAGCCAGCTTCACGAGCATGCAACCTGTCAAGTTGCCCATGGCCCCATGCTTGGTTTAATGTTGAATAATTCTTAGTACTTTTTAAACAAGGAGCCCTGTATTTTCATCTGGCGCTGGGAACCCATAGATTATGTTGCAGGTCCTGCTTGTTACCATTGGGCCTAACCCATTAGCCCCATCAGGGGCTGACCCCATGCCCACTCCTGACTCCCCCACGGAGAGCCCCCGGCAGGGAGCGGACCTATCCAGCCAGCACGAGATCGAGTTTCCTGGAAATCTCCCGCAGCCATTGGAGGACTGAGTCCTCGGCCCCACCCCTCGGACTCCATCAACCACTAGATCTAGGGCCTGACCCACTTGGCAGAGAGATGAGGAGTGATCAGCTAGCTACTCCTGCAGTTAGAGAAAAGGGGCTCCCTGGGAGAGGGGGAGCAGGTCTCCCGGTTCGGAGTGGGGACTCCCTTAGGAAAGGGGTCCAGTCTCTCCCTTAGCCTAAAGAAGACTCCTTGGAGCGGACTGTCGTGCGGACTGCCGTGCGGGCTGAGATGTCACTGGACCAGGTCGGCCACGCCCCATCCAGCCACACCTCGCTCCCGCCCCGCCCCTAGCTCCCTTAGTCCTGTCATCACCACCCGCGCCCCGCCTCCGGCGCTCACTGTCTGTCCCCCATCACTTTAGCCCCGCCCCCGACTTCCCCAACTTCACCCCATGCAATCCCGGTCTGTCCCGCAGCCGCCTAAGTCCCTCCTCTCGCCTCCACAACCCTAAGGTCAACCGGACAGCCTTCTCCTGACCTCTCATCACTCCGCCAGGGCCCCGCCCCCACTGTGTCCTCCAGCCCCGCAGCGTCCAGTCCTTTCCTTAGAGGCCCGCCATTCCCAGGTCAGGCCCTTCAGCGCCAGACACCTCGTGTGCTCCCGGGGGTTGGGGGCCGGCTCAGGCCTGGACTGAGCTTTGAGTATAGGACAGTGGTGACCAGGACCCTCCTCACTCCACCGGCTTGACGTGACTGCACCCAGTGAGCCCCGCACAGAGACCCCTTCTGGGGCTTGGGGTCCTGTGCCCTCCCTCACATACCCCTCCCCAGGGGATCGAGTCTGCAACCCAGGCGTATGCCCTTGACCAGAATCGAACCCAGGACCCTCAGTCCGCAAGCCTACGCCCTATCTGCTGCACCAAACTGGCCAAGGCTGCAATGCTTTTTGTAAATACTTTTAATAACGTCCCTGCCTGCTGTCAGGTTGTGGTTTCTCACTGCTGTTATTCTGACTGCCTGTAATCTACTTTTTGCTGCTTCAGATGTATTGCTTCTAACTTGCTGTAGGCAGGAAACCATAGTCCCAAAGTTATTAGAACTCTATGTAAAGTAAGATTTTTAAAAATTGGTAAAATAAATAGGTTCTGAGTAAGTGTTCCTGTGGACAAAGTACATGGGCCTTCGTCGGTGTTTGCTTTAGGCGACCTTTCTGTGCTCAGGTGGCCCCTGTGCACAGCTTGTCACCCTGGCTGTCATCCCTGATGCACTAACCTGCAGGTCCCCGAGGACGGGCACCATGACTTGCTCATCTTTGTGTCTGCAGTGCCTGCCACATAGTAGGAACTCACTGTATTTCGAATGAATGAGTGGACCTGTGGCGGCGTCTCTTTTGGCAGAGTGGACGCCTTGCTCTGCTTTGCTGCAGTCCTGACTGGGGGCAGCGTCCCCCCTAGGCGGGAGAGGGTCCCAGAGAGATGAGGTAAACCTGTGTCTAGTTGGAACGCCCCTTAGTCTAATGGGGAGGCACAGTCCCTCCCCGTGGGATAAGCCGCCGGAGTTGCTGGCGGTGTTGATGCTGACATCCCTCACTCTGTAGGAGAGCTCGGCGTGGCACCCGCAATGTCTGCGTGTTGAACCCAAGGCAGGAAGGGTGGAGCAGCCGGGTGGGGAGGCTTAGCTGCCTCCTCAGCTCCCTGGCACTCGGTGTGCTCTGTTCACTTCCTCTGGTGGAGAACAACTTTGTAGGTGCTTTAGTCTCTGTGTCTGGGGTATGTCTGGGTCTCATTCGGTTCAAAGCTCCAAAGAGAAAGAAAGCTGTTTACTCCATTAGCGTGGAAGTCCCTGAGAGTTAAGTTCAGGTCGCTGCGGCTCTGACTTAGGGGCTGGGCTCCCTGAGGGCAGTGTCTGCTGCTTTCTCCACTACTTCATAGGGCAGGAAGAAGCTGGTGGTGGAAGGGCTGACTGAGGGACTTCTTTCTTTTTTCAAAAATATTTTTTTTATTGATTTCACAGAGAGAGCGGGGGGAGGGAAGGGGAGATAGAAACATCAATGATGAGAGAGATGCATTGATCAGCTGCCTCCTGCACACCCCTACTGGGGATCAAGCCCACAACCCAGGCATGTGCCCTTGCACGGAACCGAACCCAGGACCCTTCAGCCCATAGACCGATGCTCTATTCACTGAACCAAACCAGCTAGGCGAGGGACTTCTTTCTTCCCACCTTTACACAGTCTGCTGGCTCCAGGATGCCGCATGGGGAAGACAAGCCGGGGTCTGCCTCAGGCCTCCTAGGTTCTTGCTCAGAGCTGGGCCAGGCGTGCGGCTGGGCTCTCTGGGCACCTGACAGCTTGCCCAGTGGGCAAGTACAACCCGCAGGTCAGGGCACTGAGGAAAGGGCTTAGGGGGTCAGTGACTGTTGTTCCAGGTGGGTGCATCTCTGCGTCTGTGAAGGCCTTGGTCTGTCCAGTCTCCTGTGATGGGCTGAGTTGGAGCTGCAGCCTCTGAAGCCCCCCTCCCACCAAGTTCTGACTCAGGGACCCCAAGTGGCTGGGGTGAAGGGGTCTTTCCCTGGGGTGGGAGCCAATGAAGCATCTCTCCTGCCTCCTCCCCAAGTTCCTACTTGCTCTCCCTCCTGCTTTCCTCCCGTCCTTGCTCCACAGAGGGGAAGGGATTTGAGCCAGAAGGGACCCAAGGGGGTAACTGGTGGGATGTTTATTATCCAGTGCTCCTGTCCCATCCTGAGCTCACCGCTGAGATTTGGGGTACGTGTCAGGGTGGGGGAACTAATGCTCTGCAGACCTTAAAGGTTTGGTCTCTGCTGCTCAGGATGACAGGGCGTCTAGTGAGCCTCTAGGAATGGGCACCGATGGTAGAGGCACAGGGCCCCACCTGTTCCCCACCCTTCCACCTCCACAGATCTGTGCAGTCTGTTTCCCAGAACCCAGCGAGACACGGTCCAGCCTGATTCCAGTAGGGGGTGGGTGAGCCGAGTGGGGCAGACTCTGTGAGTGGCCGGGGAGGGACTGATGGAGGGTTTGATAGGGAGGGGCCAGGATTCCAAGGCCCAGGCCAGGGTGTGCCTGGGGTGGACAGTCAAGGCTGCAGCCTGAACCTTCCCACACCCTATTCCTTCCCCCACCCCTGCAGTGGGGAGCCCGTGTCTCCTGAGAAAAGAGGATGGGTGGGGTGCCCCAGGTTTTCCTGACATGAATCAAATTGAGGCTTCCTGGATGGTAGCAGAGCTCAGCCTTGGGTTGGTGGGCGGAGCCTCAGGGGTGGAGAGAGGAGGAGTGGCGAGGGGGGCTGCAAAGGAGACAAGGGGTTCAGGATGGGTCAGAGGGACCAGGGGAGGGGATGGATTTCTCCTTGAGTGGCCACCCAGTCTGCCCCAGGCTCTGCCCCAAGCTGGGGGAACCCTGGTTCAGTGGGTCATATCTTCAGTTTCTACTGGGGCTCCTACAAGCTTTCCCAAAGCAGCTGTTTCCTCCTTGGAGGCCACATGGGCAGATCACTCTGCACGGGGACAAGGGACAGGGTGTGCCGATCCCTTTGGGCCCCTTGCGAAGCCTGTTTGGTGATAGGATCTCTCACATAGCCCCCTGCTTCAGCCAACTTGGCCTTCGCCCTCTTCCCTCCCCACCAGGAATTCTCTCACTAACTTTGAGCACATCTGGTTTCTCCTGCCCCCTGCTCAGACTCCCGCTGAGAGAAAAGAAGACTGCATGAGGGAAATAGCTTCCTCTCCCTTTGCTTCCTGTGTCCCTCCAGCAGGCTGGAGACTGCTAGCCGATGACCGATGTCCACACATTGCCCTCTTCCCCTCCTCCCTCCAGGCCCCTCCATTCCCCATCCTTCCTGTTTGTCATCATTAATTCATAGGCCCTGGCATTTCTAGCAGAGAGACTCTAGTGCCAGGAGCTGAGTGTCTAGTGCCAGGTAGGAAGGGAGAAAGGGGTTGGCATCCAACCCAGCAGGAGCACCCACCACCTAAGGGATGGTAGCAGTGACGGTGAAGCTCTCAATACCTTCCCCCTCCTCAATGCTAGGCCATAATGTTCCAGGAAATGAACAACAAGAAAAAGACCACGGGCATTAATAAAAGTGACTTTATTGAGTTGTCTTGGGGTGATGTTCTGGGTGTGGGAAACCTTCTAATCCTCTCCATCCTGCCCCCAGCTCTCCAGTGAGGGACCCATCCCCAGCTCAGATGTAGAGGAGAAAAATACATCCCC